TCAGGGAAGCTTCCTTTGCTGCATGCTTTGCCTCGTAACGAACTTGTATAACGTTTGCAGGCGCTTACGCACAGCATGCCAAAGCCGTCGATAGGCTCCTGAGCTAACTCTGCGCTAACTCATGTTACATGTTGTGCTCACGCACGACACCAGCACACGAGGGAACTGGGGTTTACAAAAACCTACTATCCGCCTCTCATTCCTCCACATAAAGCGTGCCACATTCACTTCCTCTTCACCTGCTAGCTGGGAAAATCTGCTGCTTTAAGGCATACTCGAAAAGCAATGTTTGAAGTTTGACGACCTAGAGCTACCCTATGGCGGGCGTTCCTGCTCCCCCTGCATTTCTGCAAATTTACTCGAAAATATATCAGACTCACAGTATTTTCATATATAATGGCAATATTACTATTATAATCATCTTTAGAATTTAATTTATATTCCGCGCTCATGTCTAAGAGAACCACACATTCTCATTGTAGTGCGCAGCAATACACACACCGTAGCGTGAGTCGGCGGCGCCCGGGTGATTCGTCCGGCTTTTGAAGAAAATGCAACGAACGAAGAAGCATCCTTCCCATTTTGAATTAGAGACGCATATTGAATATCATCTCCAGCAAATGCCACGATATGCCGCGGCAGCTCTTCCCTGAACAAATCCCATGAACTGGTACTTGGGGGGAACGGTCTCTGTGTGGAATTTTCTATCCAAAAACAAGACACGGAGCGGTTAAGTGGGAAGATCTCAGGGAAATGCCGCCTCATGTATACATGTGGCGGCTGTTGACGCTGTCTTCACTTGCCGTGGGCTTCTGTGGTTGGCCGGCATTTGCAAGTAGCCCATCCGGCATACTGCCAACTTCAGGACCTCCAGAGGAAGATCCACTGGTAAACAGCGTCATTAGTCACAGGCATAATAGAGACATCTTGGAAGTTGTAGGCGAAAGTGCATTCGCTTCTACCGAAGACATCAGTGAACAGGATGACGGGAGGTCTGACTCACTACGTGCAATGCAAGACCTACTGCGTTTTCGGCAGTCTTCTGCTGATGGGCTGATTGAATTTCAATATATGTTATACCTTACTCACGCGCTTATGCTGTCCAGTGTGGAAATTGCAGCCCATGACATAAAGCGGATGCCGCTACACCGTTTCACTTCACCTTTAAACCCAGATCAAATAGCGGAGGTTCCACTTTGGAGTGTTGGAGGGCCACGTCCATATCATATGTTCGTCCTATTTACGTTCATAGAGGGGCGTACGGAAGACATTGCGCAAGACCTCAGCAGCAGGTGCAGGGACTGTTCAGCTGCTCTTGCTGCGTTTGGCGAAGTGTCGAAAGCCTACAAACTTTCAGGTGAGAAGATGGGGGAAACAGTTGCGTGTTCACATTGTGCCTTTTAGATGTTCCTCCTGTGGCTCTGCTCCTTACATGCCGTGCTTGCTGGTTCTTGCCCCTCTTGCAAATTGTTTTTGTCAAACCTGCACTGCAGATGCACTTGCTGGTTGTTCAGACACATCACCAGGAAATGAAGACGCTTTGCCGGTATTCTTTGCTCTTGTAAATATTGGTTCGCGAGATGGAGCTGGAATATCCGCGATTCATCCAGCGATGCAAATCCCCATAGTTATGCACCTGCCCCCCACAGTGTCCCCTGGTTCTTGCAGTAGCAAGGAAATAACTGATCCCCATTGTTCAGCTGAAGCAGCCGAATTTCCGGCCCCACACGCATCCAGAGAGAGTTTATCTGCTGCACGCCACCGAATAGTAGCTGGGGAATTCTTTGACGGCGCACTCGGGGATGGATGGGATGACGATGAAGATAAGAAGTTACGTAAGCTTCTTGAACAGCAAAAGCGTGACAATATTCGCGGAAAAGTTCACTTTTTCTCCCCCACTGAAAGCCAGTTATTCCTCTTACAACGCTTCAAGAATGAAGCTCCACCGGAACAACGCCTTCTTGAATGGGCGAATGCCCGCACAAAGAGGCAAGCAGTTCTATTTAATCCCTCACCGCTGAAGGTCATGACACTTAATGAGTTGGTCCATCAAGTGGGTCCACTCCCCTTCGCGTTGGGACTCGGCCATCCATGCCGGTTGTTTGTCAAGGAAAATGTGTGGTGCGTGTGGATGCAGACCAGTCAACTATCTCCGAGAAGATAACCAGGTTCAAGGCCAGACGAAGCGCGCTCTACTGTTGATCTTGCTTCCGATATTGTTGTTGTTGGCATTGTGGTTGTTCCTAAAGGGGGTGTCGCTGCTTCGCAGGAATCAGTGGATTGTACCGTTAGGTGGCGTGCTCGCATACACGCTGTGCAGCGGCGGCTTGATTTTTAGTGTAATTCACTCAGTACCTTTTGCGGGTTACGACGAAGCTAACATGCGGTATGTGCTGCTGGCCCCCACCACGCGAGCGCAGTTCATGTTAGAGGGGTTATTTCTTTCATGCTGCTCGACCGTGGCTTCCCTGGCAGCCCTCCTCCTTGCACAATTTCCCGTCTCAAATAAGCAAATCAGCTGCGGGGCCGTACCCGGCCTTGACGAGAATAAAAGTGCCAGTAAGGTATGCCCGGAGAAAAACTCAGAGGGTAGTTCACTCTCTGAGGGCAACGCTTGGTGGCGGCGACATCTTGCAGCAGCATCTTTTGCTGTAACTGCCCTGATATTCGTGCTTTGTTCTGGGTTTGTAATGCAATGCTATCGCACGAAGGCTGGCTGGTACACACCAATGTTCTGGCCGAGCCCCTTGCTTCCTAAGGGCCCTTTAAAGGTGGACAGAGGCAATGCGTTTTAAACTGCAGATAATTTGCTTGCAGTGCAACAACGACATCAAAAAAACGCGTCTACGTTACACCGTTATCTTATACGAGTGCTGCTAATTCCGTGATGCAATCCTTATACGACAGGCTTGGCTAAGCTGCGGTGACCTCCCGTCGGTAACTTCTTCTAAACGTGTTTGCAACTGTACCACGCGAAAACCCTTGTTGGGCACCGACTCTCATGCAAAAACGTTTTAAAACAGTCAAGTTAATTTGCCCACAGACCTGCTGTGGTCGCCACTACCCAGTCCGCAGAGCAGCAACAACCCATCCAGCAAAACACCGAAGCAGAGGAACCCAGAGAATCGAGGCACTGGAAGCTGCCAGACTACCCCTCAGGCATCTACAGGCTATCCGCGAAACTAAAGCTATACAACCTTGTAGCAGGTGTGCAATGCGTCCTCAGCCTCTCCCGCTTCTCCATTCTTATCCGCCTTCACACTTTTGGGATTGCTGATTTGGCAGCAGGCAGTGCGGTGATTGCCTCTGGGAGCCGTTCTACCGCAAAAGTACGCCCCTTTAAATACACAATGGGGACACCAGGAATCTTGCGGATGCGACGCTTCAAATCCTTATCATTTGTTGCCACCAGATAGCACTTGTGCTGATCAGACAGTTGAAACGCACATGCAGATGCATCCATGCGTCCCCGCATAAAAGGAAATCACATACGTTTTGTCCTTCAACAACCTGAGAAAAGCATACCTCTGTAACCCTTTGCACGATGCAGTCGTCAGCGTACGTCCCAGAATGCAGACACTTGAGGCGTTTTATCCGCGGATCCTTCGCCAGATGAAGGGCCAACCGATACCTATGGCCAAGTTTCTCGAGTTCGGCCACCACGCAGTCTGTCACGCATACATCGCCTTGAGCAAAGGGACAGCACAGCAGGTACAGCTGGCAACTGTAGGCATTCTTTGAAAGGCTTATCGGCACGCCATTTAAGAGAGCCCCTATGTTATTTCATATGCTCATGAATGCTTACATTTTGCTACAAGGCAGGTGATAAGGCCCTGCAATACGTCCTGCTTGGTTTGGATAGCTCCATTGATGAAGTTTGTGTCCACCAGCACTTGATATGGAGGCACCAGGTTTGTGTTGTAGCTAAAGAATTGATCGGGATTGTGCTGGACGCTGCGACAGCAGGAAGAAGCATACGTTCAACGTCGTTTCTATTTCGTTTTCCGCACGCAGGCCGCTCCCGGATGCTTATGCTTGGACGCGTCTGTTGGATGCAATACACAGCACGAATGCAGGCTTACTGTTCCTTTAAAACGGTCTCCTTCTCCGTTCGCCTCTTCTGCTTCTTTACTTCCTTATTTTGCCTGAAGCAGACGAGATGCACCAGAAGCATGTCACACGCTTGCTGTCATCCCGTCTGCGGGGTTACAACCGATTGCGGTCGTGCTAAGCTTAGTTTCTTACAGCCGTTGATCCTTCGGGTTAATTGTACGCTTCACTGCCGCAAATTTGCGCGTCTTCTTTGCCTTTCCCTGAGCAGAATAATGAAGACCCTCATACCTCGGTTTGCAACCACTGAACGCAGAGCGTCTAGAGTGCAGAGCCCTTCACTCCACGCGGAAGAACAAGCGTTCCTCTCTAAATGCAAAGCAACGCACCATGGCTATACGGGATTTTATTGTAAACAAATGCAAAATTTCCCCGCGTTAAAGTTTGTGGCAAATGTCTTCCGTTGGGGTTCGTACGCTGTGAGGGCCCCTTAAAGGATCCTACCCCTACTTAACAACTCCAGAATGTTGAAATATTTTCCACCTCCCATGAATGAAGATTTTTTATCAGCAATGCCTCGAATGGTCATGAAACTCCACACTTTGCGCAGCCCCCTTTACTGATCTCAGCCCTGCTCTGGCTCCGACATATGATTCCCTTGCTGAATAGGATAGGCGCATCTCTGTCTCTATTCGCTAGAGATGCTGAAAATTGCATTAAAGAGCATCAACATCGTTCTTTAAGGATCCAATTTTTGCAATGGAAAGAACTGATTATCTGTTTTCCCAGCGTGCGAATGGCCACGGTTGGACCATCGATACTGCCTGGGCCTAACGGAAGTGCTCCCTAAGCCTGATCCAGAAGCCTGGTTCGCTATTAGGCTTCGTTTTTGGTTTATTTACAGATGACCTTAATTGTAGTTATTTCGTATTATACGGCCTCTTAAGTCTATTCCTGTGCAGCATTGTAGTGCTGCGCTCTACAACTTCCCCCGTCCGTGCACTGCTTTGTTGCGACCTTCAGAGAAGTCTACTCGTCACTTCGTAGCTTCCAGCACTTCCCTTTTGTATTGTCTCTTATAGTCGGTCTCTGTGACCACCAGCAGCAGTAACGCCGCCAGGCGTTACTTCTGCTGGTCAGACACGTAGTCGAAGTGTGCAATTCCTCCTGGGCCCATCACTGGTGTCATCACTCTATATTGTTCCCACATAATAAAGCCTACTTAATTATGAATTCGGTGACTCTTGCGTCTTCTTTCATGGGGTATTGCTTCGCGTGTGGTGCCTTTTCCCCTTCGTTTCCTTCAACATTAGGTATTTTCCTCATATAGCTTGACCGCTTGGTGTTTATTGACCACTTCCTAGTACCGTTACCTCAGCCTGGGCGGAGTAGCGCACTCTTAAGCGTAGCGGTCTTCATCACCACACCGGCTAAGATGTTTCGGTTGACCTGCGAGTCCTTTGCTCACGTGAGGGCAGCCCTTTCCCAAGTTAACTGTGCCCGTCCACCGAAAACGCCCTAAACTCCCTCGTTAACTGTGGAGGGACGGCGGTCACTGACACTTGCGCCACTCAGATATCGATCGGCCCTGGCCCTCCACCTAGGCTGAGCTGCACTTCTCGCCGCCTCCTTTTCCAGTCTCCTGCGATTCTCCCCAGACATCTTGGTCCTGCTGGGTCCGCGGAGGCTTGTCTCCTGCTTGAACTCAACAGTGGCTTCCATAGTTAGGGCCTTGCACATGTCAGTTGGTAAATTAGCCCAAAAGTATCCGACGAGCTCAGCTGCAGACATATTTACTCCTCGTTCGACTTTCTTCCCAATGTAAGCCGTGTATCGTTTGTATCGTACCCTTGCCACTGATTAACTGCGACCGGATTCGAGCCAAGAGGCTAGTAGTGCAGAAACGCTGTAGCATTTCTCGCCTCATTTGTGCCCAGACAGCCATATCCGCGCCTGTTTCCTTTCGCGCACCAAGTACGCCAATGCACCTCCTCCTAAAGATGCTCCCAGCTCGCTGATCCAATAATGTTGTTCCATCTCCATCTTTGTAATCTGGATTTCCACTAATCGCGGGAGGTTCCTCATCTCGTCTCCCTTCTCATGCGCAATCCGCTGCAACACTAGTGGTGGCAGCCGCTGTGCACCCAAATATATGAGGACAATTGTGTCCACTTCAACTACCACCCCAACCTGGCAACCTCCTTAGTCTGGTCCATTTGTGAAGCGGCCTCTACGTGTTCCTGTGGAGCACCTATCTGTAGTGGTTCTGCCGTGTCGTGATGGACAAGTGTTGCGGGTAAGGCGACTCTTTCCGCCTTGCTCTGCCGGGATCGCCTTCACCCGGTCGAAGTAATATTGCAGTACGGGGAGCTATACGAGCCCTTCACATATGCGCATAACCAGTGCACGCTCTGCTCTGAGATGATAGAGGTCCCTGGGATCAACAGAGTTAAAGAGTTAAGCCCTGCTCAGCTCCTGAATGTGGTCCTCTTGACGTCTAAGATTGGTGCATTCCTCCAGCTATTCGCTAAAAAGACATACACTAGAAAGCATAAACATGGTTCTTGAAGGATTCAAGTTTCTAAAAAGAAGGAACTGATGATCTGGTTTCCCAGTGGGCGAATGGCCGTGGTTGCATCATTGATGCTGCCTGCCAGTCGAAGCCTGCTCGGCCGATTGGCCCTAGGGGCTAACTAGCCTATTATTCCGGCCCCCCAGCATAGAGGAACACAGAAGCTCCCAGATATTCACAAGCAATTCATCAATCATTGTATCTTCGGGTGCGGCAAGTTTGTCGGCGTCGAACAGTGTCCGCCACTGCGATATACAGCTGGACAGCCTGCGCTAACCTACAGACGGGTACATCCAAAACCATCCGATAAAGTGAAAAACTGTGTGGGAAGCAATTTACTGCAGTTCACTTCATGGAAGACTAATGTAGAGGACATGGAGCTCTGAACGAAATTGACGCCTCAAGCACGGCGGGCATCCTTCGGGCCCCATGCTTGGCTTCTGGACTGGAAAATGGCGCAAATATGCACGAAGCGCGTGCTAGGGGATTCGCACACGTGCGTGCAATGCAGAAGGGCTTGCTTCCTCGGCCATCAACTGGACTGAAAAAAAAAGGACGTGCTGGGTCCTTGTACTAGGCGAAACGATGTGGTGCCGTCTGTACAAAAAAGCTGAACAGTCAACATCCCCTTACACCCAGAGTTGTTTACGCCTTCTTCGGTCTGGGCTTCTTCTTGCTGGCAACGACAAACCAATCTCCGCCTCCATCTTCCTGTGGCTGGTTTGCATCGATCTCTTGTGAATGCGCTTCCTCTAGTGTTTTCGCCATTGATGCATTTGACGAAGCTTCCGTTTCACATTCTGCTTTCTTTGGCGGCTTCCTCGTCTGGACTGGGGGACTTGCTGCCTGCTTTGTGGGGGTGCTGGTCACACTCCCCGAAGCTTTCCGACGACGCCTATTTGTGCTTTTCTGAGATGCACCCAGTATGGAAAGGCATTTGCGGACTGTGTTACGAGTTCCACTCTTACATATACTCCAGAATCACACATGGAGGGATCCCGCTTGTATTGTCACTAGTAAGCCTACCTTGTGATCCGTCGATGAAGCTGATGACCGAAGCGAGTACGTACATCGAGCCGCAACGGTTAGCACGAGGAACGAAATGATACCCCTAGGAAAACATATGCAACAACGAGCATTATCTTCTTCACATAATCCGGCGCAAGTGTACAACACGCTCGCGCAGGCGCCTGTCCTCTGCCATGCTCACAGCTGCGTCTTATGTTATAAGTTGGTCCATTTCAATAGTAATAATTTGCAAGAACGATACGGATAGGCGGGCAGTTGGACGGGTGATGCGATTCCGCCTTACGCCACAACCTAGTTGCACCACGTCAACAGACTCATGGAAATGGTGTAGAGACAGGCTCCGGCTGAAATCAGGTGAGCTAACTTCCGCTATATGCAAACTTACACGGTAGCCACGGCTACTGGATTGCCATTAAGAAGAGCCTCCTTGAACTGAACAGCGCCACGGAAGAACATGTCCACTAAAAAATGCCCCCCCGGCACATTGTCCGACTGTGGGGGATTCGGTGTAGATCTCGCCATCTTATATGTTCAGGATAAACTAGAACATGCTCTACACGACCACACTTCAAGCAGATTGTATGTTCGTTGGCCGCTCGCGTCGGCAAGCCCTAGAGCTGCAGCCAAAAAGTGGGATGCGGTGGCTGAAACGCTGATAGTATTTACTACTACCGTTGATATTTGCCTTAAGCTCAGAAAATCGCAAAAATTTTGGCAGTGCACATTTTGTCTCCCTTCCGAGATGCCCGTTTGTGGTTGAGGAGTGCACGAACAACCGTTCGTCCCCGGTTTTACATTGCCTTGGTGTGGCAGTTAGGCAGATTCACTGGCTATTCGTTTCTACGAAGCGTTTCATTCCGTTGAAAAAAACACTTCCGAAGAAATGATTTTAAATTCAAATATGCCCTTCATCATCTCCTTGTCTTGCTGTAGAGCTCAGTGTATGGCCAGTGGCGTGTGCTGTGGTACAGACTAACCAAGGCATGTGGCGCCTTAACAGCAAGGGCGAACTTTCTGGACTGATGTGGTGCCATCATAGTATGAGTGAAGCTATGGACACGTGCGAGGCTAAATGCATTAACTCCGTCCACGCTTCCGTATTAGTGTATCTTGGTCACTACGCGCAGCTCGCCTGATGAGAGCCAAGCAACAGCTAAATAATATAAAGTGCTCAACAATCGTCTATAGTGTTAATGCATGTAGAAAAATGGCGTGGGTGCTTATTTCGGTGGAGCTTTTTTGCAGAGCGAGTTGCAGCAGGGTGCGTTGCAACTCGTTCAAGCTATCTCCTCTCCCCGACCCAGACCCTTGGACCGCCCGCCCTAGTCTACATGGTGACTGGGGAGGAGGCCAAGTGCTTTTTGGAAACTCTTATCTTAGCTTTTCGACTCTTTTTCAGCTCGCGACTGCCCTCAGACAGGAACGAGGACTAACTTTACAGCAGGCCTTTGGGCAACTGTGCGCTGTGCGCCCTTAGACTGGAGTAGAGGTCAGCTGCATTTGAGGGACTTTCCTCTGAATTGCTTAGACTCTGATGTAACTCACGACGGCGGTCGGCTAATGCGTAGGGTTCTCGTTACACTTCACGCAGTGCTACTTCTGGTGTAACGAAGGTCAACAATAGGTATGACGTCAAGCGTAGTGTAGCGGGAGCCCAAGATCGTACTAAAAGACCATCGTACGCTGCAGAGACTTAATATTAGAGTTCTTCAAAAGCGGCTGACGTCCCGTCCAGTCCAAATGCATCTTGCACAGTGGACAGAGAGCCTGCGGCTAATGCGGACAGCGGCAAACCAATCGTAAGCTGGAACCCACGTTGCCCAAGCAACGCAGCAAGCAACTATGTCGATGTCCCCTTCTGATGCACACTCCAACAGTGCAGAATATAGCTAAACACCTACTTTGCCCTTTAAGGGCTTGCCTGGATTCGTTCCATGTATTCCTTCTTGGCTGCCTGCTGCCTAATTACATCTGGCATGCCCTCCGTTCAAGCAGCAAAGTTTCTCGTGTGCCTGGTCGCCCAACAAGGGATGGCTCGAGAGAAGGGATGGCTCCAGCCGCACGTGCTGGTGTAGCAGCGCTATCTGTTTCTGCGGTTGCGACTGCCCTGCCTGCTGCACCCCTTACTGCTACTTTTCTCTCTTCTCTCCGTTTGCCACTAGAGTCCCTGCAGCTTGCTTGCTGCTGTTCCTGTTTTTGTTGGAGTCTAAGGAAGAGTGAAACAGACAATGGTTTGCTGCATAAGCCATTCAGTTCCTAGCACGAGCGCTTTTATTGTGTGCATACAGCCACGATTGTTGAGCAGTTATGTGGCCCTCAGCTGCGAGCTTCCACGCAGATATGAATATGCAAACTAGCTTCAAACAGAGAACTCTACGCCTCATCTTTACTTGGGACAAGTAACTTGGGACAAGGCCCTCACACCTCGCCCTAGAAGATGTAGGGTGAGGCATGGGAGCCTTGTCCCAAATGCCGTTTGGAGCGCTGATATATGCACACTCTTATCACTTCATGGCGCATAGAGCGCGATTTCGTCATTAAGGGGGCCCTCATGTGCCCCCTTAATGAAGAAATCGAGCTCTATGCTCCATGACATGCCACACACGGCATGTCTAAGATTAAACCGTGGTGAACTGGGCCAGCATTATAGCTCCAGTCATCGGTTTTATCCGCGGACAGTTGCAAGTTACAATGGAGTCGAAATGCTCAAGATAAGCGTTTATAAAAAGCCGATCGCCTACACTCCCGAGACAGCCTGGGACCGGCCAAGCAACGGTCTGATGCAAGGGAAGAGGAGGCGGTCTGATACGAGTTCCAACGCAACTAGCTGCAACTCATGCTGCAACATAACTTCACCACCACACAGAACCCAGCCGTATCGTTGCATGTTTTAAACTATAGAAGATCGTTGAGAACTTACTTGGCCCTCAGCGGCCAACCTGCACGCAAGTGGTAATACTGGTGCATGTTCGCCAATGCAGACCAAGTACGTATCTAACGATTCTCTACGGAATTACTATATGCTTCAAAAGAGGCCTTGCATGTTCTTGCATGTGACGTTTCCTACACCAGGAGTTCGAGCAGGGTGGGCTGGAACTCATGACAGGCTACCTCCTTTCCCGAGTAGCCCCAAATTGTGCCGTAGTTCTCAGGGCCCATCTCCGGCGTGGTGATTATGCAAGCATGGTAATACTGCCGAGCCAGTGTACCAGTGACTCTCCTGTAATGCGACTCTCAGCTCCGTGGCCTCAGCAAAACCATCACATAGCAGCAACCAGCTAAGTAAATTCTTCCTGAGCAGGACCCCGCTCATCTCCACAAGATCACGGAAGCTGTTCATCGTGAAGAGCTTGCTGGATGCCAATGGTGAAAACAGAAGTCAGAGCTATAGTGCTAATGGTACCTTTCCGTGGAGCAATGGCAGCTGAATGAACAAAAAATATGTAAACTTGCATGCAAGCATAGCATGTGGAACACCCGGCTCACCGCCAGCTAACAACCATTCCCTCTGTTTGTTCTGTTGTTGGTTTCTTATGCCCTAGGCTTCCAACGGCCCACAGCCTTAAGGACCGAATCACAAGGGGGCTCTAGAAGCACATTTTTGACTGTGGAAGCGTCAATCATGCGCACTAACTGTGTAACGCTACCACCTGTTGATACTCCGGAAGACTGCTTCGAAGCGAGCTTGAAAAATCCAGGTCCAACACGATCAACGGGTGATGAACCTAGCTCTAGTAAGTGATTTGGGCTTCGTCCATTTATGTCGATAAGGAGCCTTTTTCTGACTTCGGAAGGGGCGTGGCTTCCACCATCAAACGGCATTGTGGCATCCGTCCTGAGTTAACCAAACAGTAAACAAATTTAACAAAACACACAGCGAAATCAAGGAACAAAATTTAACAATGTCGCTGTGAAATTCAGGATCCCTGCAAAAATGCTTCAACCAGTTCCCGTGTCTATGTCATACTGTTCCACGTCAACAAGGATATGCTGGCCGCGATGTTTTCTCTGCCATCTTGCCAATTGCGTTTTCAGCTGCGTCACTTGGGCGATGCGTCTCTCTCTTTCCACCTGTGCCAGATATCTGGAGTCTTCTGCGTTACGCGTTGCATTCTCCACAGCCTTCTGAAGTGCATCGTACTCCCTTTTATCCCTGAGAATTGCATCCTCCTTATCAACCGATTCCTGGGCTGTATTCATTAGTGCATGCTTAAGCATTTGATTCTCCTTTTTCAGTGTCTCAAGACGGAACTGAACCTCCTGAAGCTGTTGATACAGAAGCTTCTCCCTCTCCCGGGACTCCTTGAGTTCTTCGTCTTGCTGGGCGCTCTCCAATGATCCCCTTTGGACCTGCATGCTTCGCTCTTGGTCTAGGATGCATCCGTGTGGTACATCGCTCCCCGTCTGCAAAGCTTGTAGACGGGCTACACGAAGAGCATCAATGTTCCTTCCCTAGGACAAATTCACAAACGCAACCATACAAATACGTCCGATAACAAGCAGAGCCTACCTACGAGCTGAATACAAGCCTTCCTTATTCTATATATATTCTATATGTATAACAGATCTGCCAAACTCCTCCACAAATTGTCCAACTGTTCATCTTTCTCCTTGGCTAACTTCTGCAACTCGACACATCCCACAGCCCCCTCGATATCAACACAGCGACCCCAGTCGAAACACCAACGCCAANCGCACTTTACGTCACCGTGCCCACGCACACACACAAATTGCCGGCCGAATACAGCGCCTTACTTCTGCATTCTCCTGCACTTCCGACAGCTGGCGTTTCAAACTAAGCACAGCCTCCTCCTTCTCAGCAAGCTCGCCCACCAATTCGGACTGCAGCCAACCAACCCACAAACGCAAACAGACACACTCGGAGATGTCCCCATGCAGCACTCTCTGGAGGTGCAGCAGCACCACCATCGCAACCCAAATCCTTCGAGCACGCCGCGCGCACCAAGGTCGCGCCCAACACCTACTACGCCATGCAAAGGTCTGTTCACCCATGCTCCCCCAACGCTGCTGCAAGATCAAGTGAAGCTCTGTTTACCACCACACGTAGCACCGCGCACAGCCCAAATGGGCTTCCTACGATATGCACGAACCACACTGCTGCAGGGATGTGCCTTCTCCAGCACACTCACGTTTTTAGTCACCAACGACTGCAACGTATCGGGCGAGCCGAGACGCAACAGAGGTTCCGCCATTTCCGCCTTTTCTCGAAGATCTGCCAAACTCCTCCGCAAATTCTCCAACTGTTCATCTTTCTCCTTGGCTGACTCCTGCAACTCGACACATCCCACAGCCCCCTCGATATCAACACAGCGACCCCAGTCGAAACACCAACGCCANTCCCACAGCCCCCTCGACATCAACACAGCGACCCCAGTCGAAACACCAACGCCACCGCACTTTACGTCACGGTGCCCACGCACGCACACAACTTGCCGCCCGAATAGAGCGCCTTACTTCTGCATTCTCCTGCACGTCTGACAGCTGGCGCCTCAAACTAAGCACAGCCTCCTCCTTCTCAGCAAGCTTGTCCACCAATTCGGACTGCAAACAGAGAGACGCCATAGTTGTGCAGCTACAGGTGAAGTGCAGTGCATAGAGCTATCAGGCGGTTTTAGGAGCTGGCTCGGGAATGCTGCCCTGGGCATGTCTGGGGCGTGTATGGTTTGGGTCATGCACTGAAAAAGGAAAGAGGTCGCGTAGAGAGCATTCCATCTTGCTTCTGCGGGCACCCCTATCCCCGAGACGTACTATGCGGGGAACAGGGTAAGCGACAGCACTTCCATCCAAACAACTGAGGATTTCCAGGGGATACAATGAAAGCTAACGACGTCCGTGAGCTGCATTAGGGGTGTCGCCGCTGTTTATGGCAAGCATTATGTGGTTACTTTTGGGCAACACTTACATTTCGTGCTGCCAACGATTCAAGCTCTTCAGGCGATCCGAGTTGGAGGAACGACATCATTTTTTCCTGTTTCCGCTCTGACATCTGCAAGTGGTCTGCTAGCTCTTCGATTTCGGAATTCGCTTTTGCGAGCCTCTCTGTCTCTAGCTGCAACAGCATATGCATTCCAAATCCACATAGAGTTGGATATCAATGATCCAGGTATATCAACATACTTCTACCACGCAATGCGGGACAGCACAGCGGATTTGCGTCTCATGGGGGCTAGCTGGTGTAACTGTGTCCGTGCTGAAACCGTTGCTGACTGCTGCAAGTTCTCTGGCTTGTCTATTTTCTCTTCGCAGATCTTCAAGCTGAGATCGCAGCTCTCCAATTTCTTTATCCTTCGTTGCCAAGAGCGTTCGCAGGTCAGCCTGAATTGTGCCGCGCAGTCCATATGAAACAGAAACCGGGCTCGTACATGGAGTGACTTGACGCTCCAGTCACAAGCTGTGTACTAACACATTCAGCTCCAAAACGTCCGTGTATATGTTTGCTTACAATATGCTCATTGAGACGCTGAACTGCATCTGATGAACTCCTCAGCTTGTCCTCCATGGATACCTGATGTACATGCCAGTACGCATATCCGCTTCAATTAAGAACTGGCGCACATTGCTGTTCAAGAACCCCGTACTTTCAAACTAACTTTTCAAGTACATACCCCTGCATTTGCGAAAAAGTAGAGTTGCGACCGGGAGTATGCGGTCTACAGAAAGGAAGCTAGGATTCCCCCGTCGGAAACATGCCAGTTGCCATCTACACAACTACAGGTCGTCGAAAGAGGTACAGTTAGTTAAGTGGCTTCACTGGATGGGACACGAGGACTGCACTGTTTTCTGGTGTTTGTGTAGCCAAGCACGTTTTGGACTGAGCTGAGGCTTGCCTTTTCGTCCTGCAGTATCGTCGCAAGTCTTTGCTGCACCTCCAGCTCGCGTTTTGCCCCCTCTTCTGAGGTACGCCCATCCTGAAGGTTTAGAGTAACATGCAAAGGGGAGCTTCTTCGTCTCAGCGCCTACACGAACACTGAAATCACCTTCACTGCGCACTTACATGAACGCTGAAATCCGCGTAGTCAAAACTCACCCGATCGATTTGGTGGATAGTCTGCTGTTGCATGAAGATCAATGACTCCAGTTGGGACTTTTCTTCTCGTAGATTCTGCACTTGATTTCGAAGCCTCGCCACCAATGCCTGGCAGTCCTCGCTAGTGCATGCTGCGTACGCAACATTACCTTGCATTCTGCATTTTTGGCTACGGTGCTGACCATCTGCCTATAACCCGTCGCTTAAGAAAGTGCGGCACACACTGAATAGTGCTAGAAACATTCAAGCAGGTCTTGCGAATGCGAAATCTTACGGCCAAGTGGACCCCTGTGGGTACTGGGGAGAGAAATGGCAGTTTCTACATCCTTGGTAGAAGGAACTTCACTGGATAACGAATCTTGCTGAGAAGGCTGCCAGCGGTACGCAGGCATGGATCCAGCTCTGTTGGGGACCTTGGCTCCATCTCCTTCACTGTTTCCCTTCGGCTTGCCCATCGACCTGCTCAAAAGCTTCTTCATCTTCGGGGCCTATATTAACTCTATTCTCCCCGCATAAAGAGGGACGCGCCAACTGTTATGTCCGTGGTGGGAGCTAAAACCTACGGCTATAACGAAAGGACCAGACTGCTTCAGACGAGATCAGAGTCCACACGCTCTCGGGAGCACAGCAGGTGCACACCAGAACTAGTGTACATGTCGTTCTAAATACTGTACTGCCTTCGACAGCAACTTCTTCCCCTGCTACGAACCCAGCTTTGCCAGTTCTGTGCTCACACTGACGCCAAAGCTCCAGGTCTCGGCGGTTCGGCGTAGTCGACTCACTGTGCTGTGGAGTTCTCACGACTCCTCCACCCACAAGTTTTGCTGACTACACATTGTTGGTGTACAAGATGAGAGGATGTTCGGTTTTGGAAAGGCTATACGCATGTCTTGCACCAAATTTCAAGGAATAGCGTTATGGTCCCGGAACAGTCTCGAGTCAACCGAAGTATGTGGAACACAGCCGGTTCGGAAGTCATTCGCATTCCCCTGTTATGTAGGGAATGTATATATTCAACCGTTTTTCCGCCATAAAAAAATGGTATAATCCTTAGTTTGACGCCGCCGGTTTGCTCAGCTCGCTGTCACCGGCCTACTCGCAATCGTCTCGTCCTTGTTGAGCAGTGCGCAGCAGATCTGCATGCATGCACGACATGGAGTAGCCAGTGTCATCTACTTTTGCTTTTTTTGCAATCGAAGAAACTTTAGGGGCCACACCAAAATTATTGGGTTCAATACCACACAGTCCATATGGGCTAATTGCACGAAGAAGACGACCACACCACGGCAACGGTAGTGCCGCTGCCCAGCGGAGCTAAGTGTCTCCTTAATTATACCCCTCGTGCATTTTAGCGAAACGCTATGCAGTGTATCGGCCGAAAACCTGCTGCATCTAGCTCCACAAGCGCCACGGCAGTCTCTTGTTCTTCAAACGAGGGGATGCATCGGGCACGTGTGTGCGCTGTACTAGAGTGTTAAATCTCGGTAATAAGGCTTGCTAATAAACCTAGCCTAATAAGGCTTACGCGCAAAAATAAACTCATTCCCACTAAATGGATGCATGCTACAACTCGCGCCGCCATGAGGGTTTCAGCGTCCCCAGCTGTTTCCCCGGCTACCCTATATCTAAGGGTTCCTATTCGCAAATGCAGATGGATGAGGATTACCATTCATCCTGCTTACATGACTTGAGAGGATACAAACACGTCATCGGATATTGTGTTTGCAGACGTATAAGCGCAATGCAGTGCTGAGTTTCGTCAAAAAATTTAGCCATGCGTGGCCTCATCTGTAGGGGGGAGCGGTGCTGATACGATGAGCAAAACCCTATATAGGACTTGCATTTCAAGTAAAAGCGAATCAGGCTCAAACGGAAAAAGCGTTGACCCACACAATGCCTCCAGGCCATGCTATTCATATTCAAAAGGATTTTTCCAAAGCTCTCAGTGTTCGCTTGGGAACCAAGTGATCACTTGCTTCTCCATTCACCCGGCATAGGGATTCCCATATGCTGCTGTTGTCCCGTAATGAAGTCTGATCCGATGTTTCGCGTTTTGTAGTGCATGTTCGCCAGCGGTGCCTGCTGCTGGTTTGGAATAACACGCTGGAGCTGGTGTGGCTGGCTCTGCAGATACTGCTGAGGAATTGAAACACAGTGCTGCTGAAAGCTTGTCGGCTGCTGGAAGCTCTGCGAAATGGGATTCCTGGGTGCGAATACCGGCCGCTGTACCATCTTTGGGATTGGCCACGGCAAGCCACCACGGAATTCTTGACCCACGACCGCCTGCTGATGCTGTACGAACATGTTGTTTCCGTATATCAGCAAGCCCTGTGAACCGCTCTCTGGGAGCGAAGAGCGTCGTGGCATTTCATAGCGAATCCCAGGTAGCCATTGCCTGTCTGGCTGCTGTGCCGCACGGACTTCAAACTGCTGTGGCTGCAACGGAAGCGTGCCTCGAGTCACGCCACAAGGTATGAAGTGCGGAGCATTGCATACGCCCCTAACAACATCCACTCCCTGTTGTCTGGACAAATCCAGTGATGATCCCTGAATATGGGGCGCAGCCGACGGGCGCAGCTGTGGCTGGTGCATGTGCCTATGCTGCTCTGCTTGTGTGGGCCTTGCAGACGTATCCCTGCTAGCACCTCCTTTGCTCGAGTCAATCTGACACCTCAGACTAGCCACAGGTTGACGATCCCCTCCATTCGTCCCTTGGAAGTGGGGGGTTACATTCATATTCCAGTTGCCTGGATCGTGGGAGGGAAGCGCTGGCTTCTGACGGATCTCATTGTTGTGATTTTGTGGAGCAGCTGCTTCTGCATGGTTGGTACTGTCTTTAGGCTCCCCTCCACAAGATCCTTGTGTACGGTCTTTTGGTTCGCCTCCAGTAGACCCCTGTGTAGAGCCTTTTGGCTCGCTTCCAGAAGATCCTTGTGTGAGGCCTTTTGGCTCGCGTCCCTGTGTTGTAATACATAGAACACGTGCTCCACTGGACCCCAGATGTTGGCGATCCGCGGGTGTGGTTATATCTGTCCGTTGTGGGATTTTGCCACTGCCTGAGACACCTTCCAGGTTTTCGTTCCTTCCGACAGCAACAAGTGGAGCAACTATGCCTGCGGAACTATCTGACATGGGGCCCAGCTCCTCATCGTGGGCAATTGATTGCCGGTGTAAGACCGGCAAGGATGAAGGTGAAGTCGACGTTTGCAACTGCAGGCCGTCTGGGATGTCGGCATCGCTTTGAGCTTGGGATAACACGCTTGCTTCTTTCGGCGCAAGCAGTGTCAGGTCTTGGAAGAGCCTTGCGTCACGCTTTTGTTCTTTCCTCTCCTTTGCAGAACTGGATACAGGAAGCCTACGAGTAAACTCCTTACAGGTGGGCAGCACAGTTCCGCAAGTCATACGGCTGGGAAGACCGCTGTTTGGAAGAGACCCCGTAAGGGAAGGCGGCTGTGTGGCACGCAGGTTGCCCGATGTGTGTAGATGGACTGATGCTCCTCCGCGGTCCAACGAGGTTCTTCTCTGCGTGACAGAACGCCGTGAGTTCAAGCTGAGAGATGCCGGGCTGGAGGTATAGTCCTCGGTGTCGTGAGGCTTCAGTCCATGATCTTCCTTGCACTGCCTTGTCTGCCGCGCAATGTATCTCCGTGAGGATGCAAGGGGGGCAGCCGCTGAGCTCTCTTTCTTACAGGACGACGTCTCGCCGCGCGCACTGTTCTTTGTGAAGGCAGTCTGAACCCGGTGTGTCCGGTGGGAATCTCGAGATGCCAATCCTGATGTTCCGTGTAAAACGATTTTTCCGACAGGAAGGGGAGGAAGAGCGTGCCGCGCGCCGCTTGGCGTTACCTGCCCTGTGGAGTCAGACGGTTTCATTCTACGGTCAGCAGCAGTTTGGCCTCGTGAACGCGTTGCAACTGACGATGGCCGGGAGACGAGCTTGCTCCCATCCCTGGAGATGCTGGTGGCCTCAGCATGCCGCTTACTGTCTCCTCGTTTCTCAAGCGCCGCACTGTTTACAGAGCTCATTCTGCTTGGCGGGAGCCCTCCTATCTGGCGACGCAAATGAAGGGGCAGCAAGTGCGTTGCATCATCTACAGTTCCTATCCTCAGTTTAGACGTGCGGCCCTGCCCTTCCGTCTCATTCACACTTTCTACTTGGTCTCTGCATTTCTGTATTTCTTCGATTGTTTCCGCTGTCTCCTCAACACTGCACAACGTGGAAGTCACCCTTCTTGCCGTTCTTGGAGATTTCGATACAGCGCTCTCCAGGAAGTTCTCAGTTGGCTTCAATTCTTGAAACGAGGAAGGGCACGACATGCACACATCCAAGACGCCCTGAGTTGCTGACCCTGAAAACGGGATTTCCTTCGTCTTCAAAGCATGGAAGAGAGCCCAACGTGACAGTGGCTGCTCTGCTATGCCGAGAGCTTCGATCTGTTTCCTCAGTCCTGCTTCTGGCCAACGGCTAGCAAGCAAAGCAACAATTGTGTTTCCCTGTTCAATGACTTCACTGAAGCACAGAACAACAAAAGTACGAAGCAATATAGCGTTACTTCGAAAACACAGGGCCTATGGTCGCTGCTGATGAAACTGTAAGAACACAGAAGAAGCGGCTCTCGTACCTGAGCTTTGTCTTGAGTCGAGGCATCATATCTTCGACGACGGCGGTCAGGCAGTGAAGCTGCAAGCAAAACGCCCAGCCTTCTCCAGATAAGCAGTTCAAACTCTAGCAAGGGTTGTAAATGCCGATGTCCAAATGAGAGTGACATTCGGGGACGTATGATTGAACCAAAGAGGACAAAGATAGGCCGTACCTGTGTCTGTGTTTGATATAGCAGCCTCGCAAAATATTCCTTGTCCTCGACTGCATCAATTGCTAGAGAGCGCGCGGCTTGAGCAGATACCTTCAGCAAAACACCCACAATCCTGTTAAATTTGTGGATTATGTCGGTCCAACACAACTTACGGCAACACCGCACTAACTGAAAGACGGAAAACAACACTGCACCGGTGCAACGGAGAGGAGCGAACCTCAGCAGCAGTAATTCGCTTGCTGTTGATTGAGCTTTCCTCTTGGAGGCGAAGGTACTGAGAAACATACACACACAGATGCTAAGCGTTGGCCTCATCAACGTGGCGCTGTGAAACATCTATTTGAGTTCTGTGACCACCGTATCCAGGCCCACCTCGTCCTGGAAGATTGCGTAGTGCTTCCTTTCTTCCGCGCGCAACCCTGGGAACCATTACACAAAAAAAAGAACGAACGCGTATCAGGGCAATACTTTACAGATTCGCGTATACAGACTGCCTGAGGGGGTTCTGACAAAATATGCGCACTTTGTTCTTCGGCGAGCTCCTCCTGGACTAGCCAGAGTGCCTCTTCGAGGTCATGAACTGCTTTGAGAGGCCCGCTACTACTCTCTATCTCCGCCAAAAGATTATCACTGCCTCCCTGAGAAATAAGGACCCAAACGTTGTCGTTACTATGAGCGGAGCACGCAGCCGTGTCAACACAGAGACCCGCTCCCTTCATATCTGCCGGTCGTGTATTCTACTAGCCTGCCGCGCAGCCAACGAAATATGGCGCACCGATGAAGCATCAGCGGTTCCATCAGTTTCCAATTGCCTTCCACCGTCTTTAACTCCCCCATTGTATTTGTGGGCCTCGACATGAACGAGATCAGGCGCGATGCTCTTCCTCATTGGTTCATCAACAGCGAAGCGCCCAGTAGGGCTGGAGTTGATATTTTCCTCGGCGCAGCCTGGTCCATACTCACATTGGGGTGTTTTAGGATAGGGCTCCATTGGTTATGTGTGCGGTAAAGGTCGCCGAGGTGACTGCACACCGCATTCGAGGTTGCCGCCGGCGTCCGGAGGCTGTGACGTCCGTCCTTACCAAATGAGCTAAACTCTCTGTGCTCAATGCATATAAAATGAAAGAAATGCCCATCAACTATATGAATTGGGTAACGCGCCACCGAAGGGACGGAGGGACACGAGGTCTCGAGAGGGCGGGCCACCTTCCGCGTCTACACTTGACAAGCGGCCGCCAAGCCAGTCGGTGCACCTCCGGGGTGTCATAAAAATACTGCGAACTCAACTAATATAAGGCATAAACCAGGCGTCCACCGTGTGGTATTGCTGAAGGTCCAGAATGCCTAGCGATGGGGATTCTTCGGCGGTGAACAGGCTGCTGCTGCTGAAGCTAAAGAGCACTGGGGCTCCAACAGGAAATATACTCCCCCATCAGTAGTGCAATGAATTCGTGTATTAGTTTTGCAAGAGACTTTATATTCTTTCTGTCGGAAATAGCTACGGAAGCCTCCTTGCGCACAACTGTCATACCCTGGGGCTTGGGTGTCCATTGGCCTGCAGGCAAGGCACGTTAGCGCTGCGAGTGTCAAAGACAAGCAGAACAATTTAGGAGCTATTCTTCTCAATAATGAAAACTAACCGAGAACATCGACCAGAGCACTTCTTCTTGTCGCCTTTAGCGAAAGAACGGTGGGCAACAGCCTGCGGACTCAGTCTTACCATCTGTCCAACGGACCGTGGCGGCGTCACTGCCGACAGATTCCTTATCCACACAATTATTGCGTTTCGCTTATCTGCTTTATCATAAGCCTAAAGTAATTTTCCGGTCTTATACTGCATTCTGGAGTGCGTGCAAATCGTGATATTGGCGTCGAGGCCGGACAGGCCTCACCAAAGGACCACTCGGCGGGTCACGCTGAACTCGCACAAGGGCTGCATTCTAGGGTGTAACCGAATGAAATTTGTTGAATCCTTTCAATATTGCATTCCCTCCAATGCTAGTTTCGCCGTTGAAAGAGAAGCGCCGTACAGTCTGTCCTTTTTTCTAGCTAGAAGTACAGCCTTCCTGATGTAGCCTGTAATATTCTGGAGGGAAGGCACTAACCTACTAATCCCTTCGCCTTCTTTTGTATGTGGTTCCTTTGATGAAGTGTCTGGCTCTCCATTTGTTATAAACAACTTGACCCAGCGTCGCCGGTCTCCGGTCGCCGCAGTTTCGTCGCTGGGATACTTTTGGGAGGCCCTTTCGAAGCGATGGGCCATTGTATATATACCATATATGTATACATTTGTGAGCTTTGCCTGCCTGGCATGACATCTGAAGGAGTCTGTGAATGTAAAGGCGTACCTAGACTAGCTGTGCATGGTAGTACGAGCACAGCCTGATGTGCTGTGTTGTTTGAGCACTCGTCAAAAGAAAAACGTGTGGGTACCCGAGGTGGTTCAGTCCAGGAAAAAGAGTGGACACAAAAGCAATGCAGGTATCACAAACGACTTGGTCTTGGTACAGGGTGGTAGACGTTTTCCGCTCACAGCACACAAGAATGCACGTGTTCCCCGACTAGCGGAAATGAACAATTGCAACATACATGTTTGCCCTAAACGTCCATTATACGGAGCTGAAGAGGAAACTACTAATAAGAAAATGCACAAAACAGACATCCTGCTCCCGCTATAACTGGTGTCGTCAAACTGTACCGAGTTTTGCCGAACTCAATAGGCACAGCAGAAGGACGGTCACACTCTGTCTCTCCCAACGCATTATCAGCGGTTTCCTTTACCAAATCATTGCGCTACTAATCCTCTTCTGTCCCTCAGAAAACTGAAGGAAGACCAAGAAGGGTTATGCTCCCTATCAACCAGCCCTTTTCTTTCCAGGTAACTGCATTACGCATAGTTCAAGCCACTGCGCTTAAAGGAGAAAACGTGTGTTCCAGCGTTGTATACAGCACACACCACCTAGAACACAGTATAAAAAATAATCGTTTAAATGTCATGCCTGGGAAGGTCAACTCCCGTTTCGCCCTAAAAAAAAGAAAACCAAAGAAAACTTCCGGGACAGTGGATATGGGTAGGCGTTTGTCTTCCTAACGGTATACTGTCCCTCCATAGCACGTAGCATGTTCCGTTACAAGAACACGAATGGTGGGAGGCCGTACCACAAGTTAAGCCTATTTGTTCTAGCGGAGCACTGCCAACTGTTCAGCGTTGTGCTACCAATGAGATATATATATCCCAGTTCGGGTAGCTGGTCTTCCTTCACAAGTATATTTCTCCTGCGGAATCTTCAAAGTTAGACAATGCCACTTCCACAGAGGCAATGTGCTTCTTGATTATTCTGGCCATACTCAAGAGTGGATGCGCACTCTTCTTCCAACGTCCATCTTCGTTTTTCTCTACCAAAACACGTGCTGCTTCAAGCTGTTCCAGTGCCAGCTCAACGCACACGTCCAGTTCCAGCTTCATTTCCTCCCCCAATGCCATCTGCTTTGCCTTGATAGCCTTCAGCACTTCGATAGCCGCACTCACGTTAAGACGAGGACTAGGCAAACTTCCCACCTCCAAGCTGCGCTGAGCGTGCACCAGCGACTTCACAGTTGCCTGCATGTCATCTTGAAGCTCACGCGACCTCCATAACAACTGGACCAAACCTCCAAAATGGGGTTCTACCAATGAACTCTCCAGAACCTTCTGCATTTTAGCGCTCTGGAGAGCTTCCGTGACACTCACTTCATCGACTAGCGCCTTCAAATTGGCAAGGGTAACATCTCCGGCAAGACCAGCGGCGGATGTTGGAAAAGCTGGCTGGCTAGCGTAAGGCACACCCAGTGGTTGTGCCAAGTTATTCGCAAGTACAAGGATATCTGGATACATATCGAGAAGCATCTTTGCTTGATTGGTCATAGTGGCTGTGGCCTCGACAACTCTGAAAAACTCAGCAGCGGCGCTGCCGCCAATATTATCTAAGGCTCGCAGCAACGCTCGGAGAGAAGCTGCTGCTTCTGCTGCCTGCTCCAGAGTTCTTGCCCTCTTGATGTCGTCATTAAGCTTATCCAGCCCGGCGCAGACTGCCCCGACGTTCTGAGCCAACGAAGACGCTATCGAAGACATTTTCAGCGCAAGGGACTTCGCAGTGGACTCCACACCAGGGCCATCCCCTCCCGCTACCCTGCTGGAGAGCAGCGCACTCTCCGACCTATTTGACCACATCTCCGCCCTGATCGCTGCACGCCTAAATTCGTAATTCAGTTGTGTAATACTCTGTTCAAGGTCGACGACCGCCGGCTCACGATGGGCAACCCCACTTTGCGACGTTCCCATGCTGTGCTGCGCCCTTTCCTCCAAAGGTGTACTTCCACTTGCTGACGATATGAGCTCTGCCTCTGACTCTGGACTGCCCTCACCAGGTTCTGAAGCCGCAGCAGGTGCAGTTCCCACTCCTTCTTTGAATGCGAACTTCGAGGAAAACACTCTAGCGATGAATGTCATCGCCACAACTAGAAGACCTAAGCTTAGAAGCTTGGCCGCGTTTCGCCGGAACTTCTTGTCCGGCTTCACTGCACTGGGAAGTCCTCCTGATACCTTTCCTTCACTTTGGTCTCCTTCCCTCTGGGCCTCTTCTGCTGGTTGCGCGGAGGCCAGCCGTGGCGCAATGCCGTCATCCGCATCTATATCCTGCCCACTCTTTAGGGTCCCAGCTGAGGACGAACCATTAAGTCTTTCAGTCAACAACAAGGCATCTTCAGGCTCCCTGGACGTCGTTTGGATGCCCACCTCGCTCGTCAAGGGTCCCGTAGTTGACCAGCCGTTCGGGCTAGTTTCGGAGGAGCCACCACTCGGCCTCACAGGCGCCGTGGCCAATAAGAGTACAAAGGCAATTAGGCTGCGCATTGTCTTAAAGAAGATGTCAAAAAAAGTGGATGAGAAGCGCCTGCCGCGATACCTGGCCTGAGTGAAGCCTCTTCAGCGCTCGCGAAACAGGGCAGTATGGTAAGTTAACGTTGTCTGTAATGGCCACCAAGAAAAACGGGGTCTTCTGAACCCCACGAAACAGAAACAGCCTAAAACACACAGTTCCTGCCAGCCTAATCCGCGTGGTCTCAAACAATTCGAGAAGCCAGCTCCTCGCACTGCGGAGGCTTCGCGGAGACCGAGTTACCGTCGTGCCACAAGGACGAAAAAGAAACAAACAACAGTGCTAATACTTCGTGTGAGGGGAAGAGTGATATTCAAATGCACCAACGACGTCAATAACAAACCCCCTCCGCTGAGCCCAGCAAACTGCCAGAGGGGCTGAATGGACGACAGCACGGAGCCCTTGTGTAGAACTCCTCTACAGCCTCGTATAAAAAATATTGACTTGAAGCTTGATGCATGCAATACTAACTCCAGGAGTGTGGAAAAAGCACACTTTATGGACAGTGTTGCAACTGCGCAGTGTTGGTGATCGGTCACAGGGAACGGAAAGCAGGCGAGCACAGCATCGACTGCCAGGTTCTCAAGTGAGCAGAATGCACGTGAATCTCCTGTCTAACTGAATGGCTGTTCAGCTATGATGTTGCATTAACATAGTGAATGCTGATTAATGTTGTTTTAGTCTCTCGGAGATTATTCCGTTCCGAGGATATCGATGAACCACTATAGGTGACCACTGGCTGGCGAAGCAGGGTCTGCTTCCATCACACGGCGCTTGCATTCAATAAATATATGCATAAGACACTTCAATTTCTCTTCCACTCTATCCTTTATAGGTATATATAATATTTGTGCAGATACGTTCTGTTTGACACCGCTGCTCAACTCTCCTGCCATGCTGTGTGGCCTCTCGAGTATGTCTGGACACGTATCGATGCACTTCATTCCTGTGCGCAGTGCAGTACCAGCTTGGAATAATTGGAAATCCGCTACTTTCATCTTTTATATCAAGCCTCAGGCTTCAATTGCAGCTCGTCGACCTATGGTCCGCTGCGCCGCCTTCAGTGCAGCTGCTGCCCTTCAGTGCAGCTCAGCGTGTCTCTGATCTCTCCTTCTCGCACAGCATATCATATATACTAGATGCATTTAGCGCATCAAGGTACTCTCCCTTTAGTGGAAACGAAGGACTTATTGCCCCTCGTTGCACCGTGATTCGTCTGAAAGACATTGCTCTGGGTGCCATATTATCTATCGCGTTCTAACGCTATATATAACAAAGTCAGCACGGGCTTTGACCGTCAGGAGAATCAATCCAACGCAACAACTACACGCAAGTGTTTCAGCGGCTTCAATAAGTGCTGAGCATCACTGGAGTCGACAAGCAGCCGTCCCTCAATTCCCTCCTCCGTCAACTGAGACGGAAAGCCAAAGGCAATGTAGCACCTTAGCCTGTCTACTGTGCTCGTGGCAATACACCACAATATGCTAAAGCGTTCTCCCGTTCCACATTCTGCTAGTATAAGGGGTTCGCAGCCGCTGCTTGCACATTTGACTTGAACTTTCCGGCTGGAATCCTATGACGAGAAAGTCCTTGGACAGGCAACTACACCCCCATACTTTGGGTCAAATATTCCAATGAGTTAAAAAAGAAGAATTCACTAGAAAGTCCGAGAAGCCGCCTAGGTTGCAGCATACAGTTGATGCGGGCCTCTTTAGGCACATAACCACGTTCCTCCGCAAGATCGAAGAAAACATGCGTGCAGACGTGCGCTATCTACCCGCTCCCTTTCCCTCAGAAAAAGGAATTGTTGAGTTTTTGCGCAACAGCGAACTGCAACTTGGCCAGTCTAGCCAAATGCGCAGCCATGAGGCTGTCCTGCAGCGTGTTCTGGCAAAGTTGTTCAAAGCTCTCCAATTCTGGCTCCGTGGCTCCGCTCAGAGCTGAGCTGAGGAAACGGCCCACCTCAGGATCCGGCTCTGTTTCTCCATTCAACACGCTTCGAACGTATGAGGCGCAAATCTCTAGTTTCTCCTGCAGCTGCTCAAGTTCAGCACTGAGGCCGTCGCCCATCTCATCCAACAAAACACCATCTGCTGCCGGCTCCATCAATTCCTCAGGTTTAGGCGGATGGCTCCGGTTTGCCATGCGGACTTTCTGCAACAACCTTAGACCAATTCGGTCAGAGGGAGACGCGTACAGTTCCAGGGGCAGTTCATGAAACTGGAAGCAAGCCTCTCTAGCCATAGTCATCTGCACCTGTGTGTATACCTGCAACACAGACAATCGACTCCCCCCAAAGCCACAATTGTTGGTTTTTCCCTCTACAAAAAAGTGTAAAACGTGCTAAGTAGTCACAGTGCAACTCTCCAGATTCTTGAAGGACTACTACGTACTTTCACTGCGAAGCTCCCGCTCTCCATAATGGCATCAACCATCAAGTGGATGGGCTCCGTCAGGGGAGGCTGGGGAAAGAATTTGGAGACGGAGGAAAACTGCTTGAACCAGCCGTGCACAGCGCACGTCAGTTCCGTCATTTCACTACCTGTGCAGAACCACCCCACTACCACCTCCCTCACCCCCCCGTTGCCTCCGTTAGCCTGTTGCTTTAGCTCGAACATGCTCTCGTGGTGGTCCTTGATGATTTGCAGCAAGCCCTGAACAAAAGGACAGGTAGGAAGTAGGTAACGATGAAGAGTGCAATACAGAGATGCGCCACTATCCCACCTACTCCATCATCTACCCCGCTTCACGTTACTGCGGACAAACCTCTCCTGTCAAGGAATGTCGATCAACGAAGCAGTCTGTGACATCTATGACGTTTCCATCGGAGCATGAGCCGAGGAGGGTGCCGATGACGTTTTCCTGGCCTTCATCTCGGCGAATGTACGCATCTAGGATAGTCATGAGCGGCACAGGGTGTAGACGAACACGGAGAGAGGGAAAAGGCAGTAAATCGAAGTTTTTTGGTACACAGGCCGACTTCGGCCTGGCGGCCGCCAGCGTGGACACCCGGCGCGACATCGTCGTGAAAGGGTCCAAGATAGCTCCTCCCCTACGAACCCAGCTAGAGGTTATATATCCACAGATTTCTTACAATGTAATCTATTTCTATGGGCGCGCAACACGGGTTCGCAACTCCTGTGCCCACAGGATGTACGCTGGAGCAGAACCGACAGAGGTTCTTCCGTAACAAACCCCCTTTTGTTTGTTATGGGCTGCTCTCCTCAAAAATATGATGGATTTCATCCACAAATGCAGCAGTTACTACAGGACATTGCACTCTCCAGAGGTTTCCCACATTGGGGCTGATCATGCCATAGGCTTCCACAACACTTGCATCACGCCCGATGCATGCATGCGCCCCGCAAGTCAAATTATTTAGAGGTGTTTAAGTATTAAATTCCATTCAACTGCGAAGTTGAGCTTTCCTCTAGACATTATTGGGATGACGTCGAGGAATGAATGGGGACGCCAACAACGCGGCTCCCTGTTCGGCGGGGAGGGCGTTGTTCACAGCTTCATGAAGCATTAGTGTGCCCGGTAATATGTTCTTGAATTACACTTCAGGTATTCATAGTGACTAATCAGGCACTCAGAAAATGCTGTACAGTGCTATTGTAGTGTCGCTTCCAGCCGGAGATCCTGGCGAGTGTCCAGCGCCTCAGCCCAAGTCCATAGTGAGTTGTTCAACCATTTTCAATGTCAAAAAATAAATAGGCTAACCCTTGAGACCAGCTTAGACCTCCCCAATTTTCTGTGGGATCCCCCGTTTGGGTTTCCTCAGCTTCAGGGCAGAGGAAGGCATTGTCACGACAAGCCTTGATCGGGGCGAAGGACCGTCGCAAGCTGCAAGACTCCAAAGTATTTCATAAGAGTGTAGAAAAGCGTCTGACCTCCATTCCACTCTCCAGGAGTCTTAGGTGCAGCATGGCCAGGGCCTGGCGCCTGTGGTTGGTGCAGAAAGGAGGCACTCTCGCACCGTGCTGCAGCTCCTCCTACTAGGCAACACCAGATGAAAGCATGCCCGCTCGCCGCTTTCATGCATGTACTAACACTGTAGACACATTTTAAGCGCTCAATTAGCCCTCACAAGCTATCCTGCAAGCAAGTAGAAGTCCACGCATTCGCCTCAGACAGATCATGCTAAAGGGACCGCGCATTTTATATTTCTCAGGATGTGCAAGGACAAAAGAGCCTGTAGGGCTCCTATCCGGTGCAAGCACACCAATATCCCCGCATAAGTGGAGGCAACAATGAGCGGTATGCTCACTCGTTCAGAGCTGTAGTGGTGTCTTCAGAGGCGGTAATAGGGAATTTACGCACTTGCAATACCATTCGTGCACGCGAAGCTGAATGGTTGCGTGCGTTCAAACTATATTGCAAACAAATATATATGGCGGTTTGTTAAGAACGAAATATTCTGGACGACCCAACGCTGCTTGGCTGTCGCACGAGGCGATCCAATTCTGCAGACCCCATTCCTTCCCTCGTCCACCCCTATCTGGGTTTGGAGTTGAACATGCGAACCGGAGAGGTTTCCGGATGTTCCACGTGTTGTACCTGCATGTGAGCAACGTTGCCTATTATCGAATATGCCAGTGCGAGCAGGCCTACACGAGACAGGCGCGCAGTGCAAGCAGCTGCCTCACTGGGCACAAGGTAACCTGACGGATTGGTTCATCATGGCGAGCGAAGGCGACACTCAGTATCCTCAGTCATCAGGCTTCAACGCGCTTGGCATTCCCAGCCAAACTGTCACATTTCTAAGGTTGCATGCTATCTCGAAGATGAATGTTCCACAACAGATGCGACCCACTAACCATCACCGACAGTAATGCGCTCGTCGGTTCATGAACAAATTAAATTCTCTGCGCGACACCACCACCACCGTCGCAGGCACTTTGTCTCAACGCAGTTCAGCAAAAGAGTTTCTGCTAGTACTCTAATTGTCCCTGCTAGCTACCGAGGAAGCTTTTAAAAGAACTGTAAGCCTTGTGCTTCTACCGAGTTCGTTGTTGCCACTGAACTATCGCCGGTCAGCCCACGTCACCCGTTGAGCCTCGTTCTCGTACCAACAACCCCCGCAAGTGTTGACTACGTGCAAGTGCAGATAAATGCGTGTCGGCGTGAGAAATACTAGTTTTGACGATGATAAAGCACAGGGTTGAAGTATACGAGGGAAATGTAAACACATGGTAGAGGAAATCCCAGCGTAACTGGGACGCGGGTCTATGCGAGTAAGCATTCAACACGGAGATCAGCGTCAACCCCACTTAATAAACCCCATTCGCTAAACGTAACCTGCGCTGTGCAAGGTTGCAAATGGGATTCCGCGGCTTCCGTGGAAGAGAAACCAGACGGCGCTGGCCGCCTGCGGCATCTGCTTCCGTTCATTGACTGAACGCCAAGCGGACTGGGAGCTGAAAGACAGCCTTCCTATAAGTATATATAAATATAAGCATACATATATATGTTACACTCGCCACGAAACAACCAAATACTATTGCAAAACCTCCATGAGGAAACCAGGATTCTTCTCTAATCTTTCTTCTTCGATGTTTTCGCAACCTTTACGTCCCGGTTCTTCGATCCCGTGCAGAGTGCAACGCCAAGACAAGTGATCATCGAGCCCATGATGCACCCGACGGAGAACAGTATCAAAAGTGGGACGGGGAACTGAATGAATACATCGCGAAGTTGTTGAATTGCCAACATAAACTCGTCCTTCATAGTGTCCAGCCAAGACAGGACTGGCGGAATGGGCTGAGGAGAAAAAAAACACGCAAGCAGCCTGGATACCCCACATAAGCTCAGAACCCAGTCACTTCCTAGAGCCTCCACTTCGATAGTAAAGTGCCCTCTAGTTTACGCCACGGAACGCGGGAACACTGCGTCTCACCTTGCCAGGCGTCTTCTCCCATCCACCGGTTGCAAATGCGTATAGATCATCTACAGTGCGACTGCCTTTGTACTGATACATCTGGCCCTGCACGCGGCAAAACATGAGAGGAGAAAACGAACACATGACAGGGATCAGTACGATACGTGTATTGGGTGTTTTGTTGCTAACACAGGCCTGTCCCGATACCCAGGTGGCTGTTGAACAACCGCCTCACGTTTTTGAAGTACAGTAAAGTTGGGAAACCTCTGATGCTGAATCGTCTTGCAGTCTGCGGGTTTGTCGTGGCGTCAAGATGCGCTACGTTGATTTGTCCCTTCAGCTTCTTCGCCAGTTCCTCCCACGCCGGGGCCATCTTCCTGCAGTGGCCGCACCATGGGGCGTAGAACTTGACAAACCAATCACCTGATGCAGAAGAGATAAGCAGAAAGAAACACAGTTTAAACGTGCAACGGGCTGAATGTTTCCGTTGCAGGCAAGCACGAAATTGTGGTATGGGTGCGGCAAGCACAGCATCTTCACGCCTGTGCACTTATGTCGTGGGGTTAAACCCCAGGGACACGTTTAACAAAACAACTTATAGTTTTGTGAAAGGAAAAGAGCTCTAAAAGGACAAGTCTGATCCTTGAACACCAAACACAGCGTCACACGCGGACAGGGTGTCACCGCGTACCCGTGGTGGAACCGGTGACAGCTTGCGTTTCTTGTTCGAAATTCGCATCTGTCAGAACCTGCACATCTGACGCAGCAGGTGTTGCCGGAGCTGCGGGACTTCCTGAGGAAGCAGGAACAGCAGGTGCTGCAGCCAGAGCAAAAGGGAATTCCCTGTTGTTGCTGTTGCAACCGTGCCAGGCGCCAGCAGCGGCCACCAGGCACAAAACACGTAAGAGGAACCGCATTTTTAGAGGCATAAACATAAACAGCACATTTGATAGAAAGGGAACAGAGGCTTATGCCAAAGACATGTGGGAATCAAGACAATCTCCTGCCTTCATTGAGCAAGGGAGTGGCGGGCTTAACACGGCAGCGAGCTCAGGCCCCAGCGCACTGCAGACCTTTTAGTCCTGACAACTTCCACGGCATATTATTTGAGTTATTTAATTTTAGTGCAACATTTTACTTATTAGAACGACAAAGGCTTCCTTATGCGTCGGCCGACACCCAGCAAGCAACAACAACACCCCAAGCCTGCCGCCGTGGGACTTGTGCTTTCACCTCATTCACCTCACCAAACGCAGCCAGGCTTCACCGCATAGCCTCACCTACGAGCACCTCTAATTTTCAAGTGCAGTAATAATAAAGTGCCCGGAGCGGACCCAACGAGGTGCAAGTGTCTGTCTACACCCGTATCCCCTGCAGGCGTTCGTAGCAGCGCATATGTAGCATTCTCTATAGTTAGACAGGGGACATCCGCCTGGACGTAGCAGGCTAGCTGCACGCAGATACGAGTGCCTGACAGGCGCCTACAGAGAATGGTTGCAAAGTGAGCTTGGTTGTGCTTGCATGTGACGCTGTCGTTGCATCATAGTTGCAGTGAGGTGTATTGCAGCTCGTGTGAGGCCGAATGCTCCGCAGCAACACCAGGCTCTGAGCAGCTGTGCCGAGGAGGCCTGGAGAAAGGGGAGTTCAGTTCCTTTTAGGAAGCTCTTAACTTGAGTGCTTCGGCTTCACTGGAGCTTGCGACTGTAGCGTTTTCCATGAGGGGGTGGAGTGTTTATCCCTACATGGGTGCAGGCTGACCAATGAAGGTGAATGAGAGCCAACTAAGAGGGTAACAATCAGAACAATCGTCTATACTGTTAGTACATGCGGCAGTAGGGCGTTGATTGTGTATGCATGTCGGGTTGCCTTGCCCGACGAGTTGCACCAGGGTGCGTGCGTTGCAAGGTGTCTCAGCCCGCCTCCTCTCCCCCCGCCGCAGGTCCTTGGTATGCAGGTCCCAGATGACTGGAGAGTAGATCAGCTGCTTTTGTAGAGTCTTACCTGGAGTATTTTGAGCCTATTGCATCTCATGACTGTCCTCAATTAAGATTGAGGACTCCCTTACAACACGCCACAACTTGAGATATGCCATACAGCAGCACAGGCCGCTCGCGAGCTGCAGCAGACTCAATCGACCTGACAAAATATTTACAAAAAAGCCGCTGATATCTCCCTATGTTTCTAGGCGTGCTGAGCGTAGTGGCTTAACTGCTTGCGGCTGGTGCGGAGAGGAATCTGCAACGTAAATTGTTGCACTTCCTTCTGCAAGGCAGCCACATATGCAGGTGTACTCATCCTCCATTTGGATGCATTCACTACGCATTAGTGTGGGCACCAGAAGTTTAACCTGCACGCAAGTAAAAGCACCTGCTCCAACTCCAACCAACTGTAGCCAGCCCATGCTACATCTGATACCTCGACACACGACGTCGTGTGCCTAGCAGCCCAGCAAAGAATGGATGGACTAAATCAGAGCTCCGCCAGCACCTGCTGCTGCTTCATCTTGTGTGATTATTGCTGCTCCATCGGTTCGTCGTGTTGCATGTTTTATTGCGATGGTTCTTACTTCTGTATCTCTTGCAGCAGTTTAGTTGCATCGCTTGCAGCTGGAGTTCCTGCTGCTTAGCCTGCAGTTTCTGTGGTTGCTAAAGTCTAAAGAAGGGGGGACCAAAGCGCAGCCCGTTGCGTATTCCATTCATCCATCAACTGGAACACTCCGAGGGTGTATACACAGCCCGGCAACGAAGCTAAACTCCACCAGTGCTGCGTCTACGTTGGTCTACGTCTTCATGAGTTTAGTTTGGCTAATGTGGCTTATATGCATTGTTGTTGAGAGACTCAGCAAATACGAACAATTCAGCCCGTGCCCTAGCTTAGTTGCCGTCGAAGGAATGATCAATGATTCATTAAGGTTCTAGAAACTCCATGGCTTTCCGAAAAGTAGCATAACTGAGAAAGATCCGAAGTCTGTTAGCAACTTCTGGCACGAGTTCATAATGCGGCTTAATATAGACCGTAAGATCATCCAAGACCACCTGAAGGCACATTGCCAAACTGAATTTACGCACTGTACATTTGTGCAGCATTTGCGTAACTATGCTTATCAGACTGGCTTGATTTGCTTCCCTCTACTGAGTGGCTCTATAATACAACCGTGCGCCGTTCATCAAAGTGACTTGAGCTCCTTTCATGCGCTGAATCGATCTATGGTACAATTGTGCACTTTCCAATATGTTGTCCTCCGGTTCACCAGGTGTGCACCAAAACGCTGTTGTACGTGACGCTGGACCTGGGGCTTGACAGCGAGCTCCTTGTCGCCGCAGCAGCAGACCTCCATATACAGCCTGGAGCAGCACGGCAGTGTATATATCATGCCGAAAATGCCAAGTACCAAACAACGACACACGACGTTCAGCAGTCATTTTCTTCCCAACCGACTTGGCTTTAGTGGATTTGCACTCAGTACAAACCTCAACAACCCAAAAGAGTTCACCATCATTTCGGTAGAACCCGTTGGCGTTTGCTACCGGGCCGACGCATTGGCCGGCATTGTAGGTTTACCCCCAGCATGGAGATGCCACAACGCCATTAACGTCGGTTTCCTAAAACCGTTCAGCGAATCGCCAAGTTTTCTCGATTTCTCTCCGCAAGCGATCAGAAAGGTAAATTGGGGGAGGAGCAACTGGAGGAAATTGAGATTCGGGATACTCGTGTAACGAAACCCAAAGTCCACAGACAACAAGCATATGAGTAGCCAACATACCGAGAAACAGAGTGGGTTTCTGAAAATCGCCTCTGCTAAACACTTCTCCAGGAGCAATTATGTGATCTCCTCGAAGCAGCATGGGTGAATAGAAGTGTGGATATGTGTGGTGCAGCGTAGAGTTCGGCCGCATGTAACGAGTTTATAACGCCTGCTCTCTGGTCTCAGTCAAGGATAGAAGCGACCTACAATGTAGGTAAAGAGTTAAAATAAGAGTTTCCAAAAGCGTTTGACCTCCCTCCCCTGCCGTCCGGCGTCACGGCCTTGTTGCTGCGGGAAGCAGCGCACGTCACTGCGGCTTGTGATAGAGGCCAGCCTCACGTGTGCACTCAAGGAGGCTTCAGCAATGTTTTCTTTACTACGTGCTTTACCTCTGAATACACCCATAGAACGTTTGCATTGACTTACACCCAACGTACCAAGGTCAAGTGAAGGCTCCGGGGCTAACTGCAGGCAAAGCGTGCTACATAGTTGGTGAATATTGCTTTGTCACGAAAAACGAGGCACTCTTGTCTTCATATGCACGTAAGCTCTGGAGCTAATTGTTTTATCGTTATGATATAGGCCTCTCCCTATACGTACGGGTAGCCTATCACCACCGTTCTACATTTTCACGTTTTCCGTGCCTTAGGGATGAGCCCAGCTTTTGCTGCTGGGTGGACCCCAAGCCGCACGCGCACGTTGATGTTGGTCATTTGCGGCGTTCCAAAGCATGCTTCTGTTTTGACTGGGATATCCGATGCATCTCCTTGCCTTGGTCTCCCATATCAGGTCCACTCCACATCCCGTAACAAGTAGCAGAAGCAACTTCTATGCATTGTTGCGACTGTTTATGACCGCAGAGTTGACGCGGTGTCGCTCTCGTCTCTTTCGGCCCAAATCACTGAGCCGCGCGTTGCATTGGAGCCTGGGCGTTACCCTGATCATTTCATTTGCATTTATGGCGGCGGTGCTAGAAGCCTAACTTCTGTACCTTCTTAGCTTTTTTCATGCGTCTGCACTCTACAATTATGCGGTGCTGTTTATAGCAAAAGATGCCTGGCGTTAAGCTTTAACTGTCAGCACTTATGGCTGCGAGATCATAGAGAGTATGCGGAGTACGTAGAGCTCGTGGCCAACCAGGCATGAATCACCTGGGACCCAGAGAGGTGTTTACTGCGTGTAAAAGTTTACTGACGGGGACACTATAACCTCTGTAGCATATGCTATCAGCGTGGTAGCCAGCACTAAACAGCATTACGGAGGAAACGCCTAAGTTACTACGTGGGGAGTAACAACGTTCGCAAGATAACCTTAATGAAGCAAGCACTGTTGGTTGGTAGGCGAGGGTAGGAATAGATGAAGCGGCAGCCAGTAGCGCGACGGTCCCCTGGCTTGTAGACCAAACTGAACCAGGTATTGTTGTGGCGGTATTTGTTTGCGAAACACACTGATCCTGAAGGATATTTCCTGTGATACATTTGGGGGGATAGAGCAGCTCGGTTCCCCTCGGCGGCCTCTCTATTTTCTCTTTTTTTTTGTTGCCGCTTGTAGCCTTGCTAGTGATGTAGTATGCGTCGATGTTGTATGGATAGAGACAGAGACACAAATTTCTGTATCTGTGGTTATTCTTCTAGTAGTATTCGACGGATGATCAAGAAACTTAATAAAAAATAAAAAAAAATAAATATATTGAGTTCGTTACTCTGCTGTATGATGATATGTATAGTATGTGTTGCTCAGCTAGTGAGTGGACCTGTGCTAGCACCACACCACCACACCACCCCTTGCGCTTCAGGGCTGGTTTTCGGGCTGCTTTGGTGGTTCGCTTGTTAATTAATATTTTCTTTTGTTTATTTTATTGTTGAAAGGTGTATAAATGCAAACTGTTAATCCATTTTCTCTGAAGCAGGTCCTTTCTCCCTAGGGCTAGCTGGTGCTGAGCAGCTGCTGCATCGATGTGCTAGTGCTTCAATACATTGCGGCCTCAGAAGTTCTTTGATTG